GAGAGAGAGAGAGAGAGAGAGAGAGAGAGAGAGAGAGAGAGAGAGAGAGAGAGAGAGCTGCACCCACGCAGCATGCCACCACGTTCTCCAAGCGGGAGAAAAGGCTCTTTGTCGGATAGCGCCCATCGAAACAGACAAAACCGAGAACAAAAAAATCAAACAAAAAAGAAAACAAAACAACACAAACCGAGAGTGACACCGCGCCTCTGTTGTCGTCATGTCTCCCCCTATCCTACGGCACCGGCGGCGAGATATTCCTCGCCATCGAAATGCGCTCCTCCCTCTCCAGGCTACATGGCGGGCCCAGGTTCGTTGTAAAGAGCCGCCTCTGCATCCATCTCAACCACGAGCTCCGTTTACTTCAGCGCCCGATTTGCGTAGTGGACCGTCGCCCTCCCCCGCGGGCAATGCTCCATAAGGGGTAGGATTATTTTATTATTTATTGTTTGAATAAGAGGGGAGGAGAAAAGGAGGAGTTTGGTTGGCGAAGAGAAGGGGGACTATCATTGGTCTTTGCTGGTGTACATGAAACGGTTTTCACCTTTTTGCAGTAGCGGACGCAGATCCCAGGGCTCGATCCCTAGTCCCCACCTTACCTGTGTACAGTACCTGTGTCGACCTGTGGAGTTGAACCCACGACCTGTGTATTTGCAAGAGTTGATAGACTGTCGTAGGTTGTAGGGGTTCGATCTGTAGGTCTGTCGGATAGAAGTCCTAGTGAAGTCTAGAAGTCTTAGCTGCAGCCTTCTAGAGGGTCGGCAAGTGGGCAAGTGGGCAAGTGGGCAAGTGGGCAAGTGGGCAAGTGGGCAAGTGGGCAAGTGGGCAAGTGGTGAGCCAAGTGGTGGACCAGCTGCAGTACGTCCGCAGTACGGTAGCAGTAGGATAGCAGTGAGTCCCCAGTCAGTCAGCGGTAAGGTCCAGTCAGTCCCAGTCCGGTCCAGCAAGTACCACGAGGGACTGTGAGCACCAAGGGCCGATGGAAAAGGGCAGACCAACGAGCTTCAGAAGTATAAATCAAGAAGCAGCGCCMAGCCATTCATTCATTCCTGCGTGAGCCATGCGGAAGCGCTGCCACAGCGACTTGTGCAAGGAGGTCTGCAGTGAGCCCGGAGCCGAAGTGGGCGAGAGAGAGAAGGAGCGTACCATAGCGATAGGGTAGTTGCGGCCACAGCTGCCATAGCTAGAGTTAGTGTGAAGTGTATGTGTGTATGTGTGAGTGTTCAGAGGGACGCGTGTGGGATATCCAGGGTGATCCGGTGTATGTGAACAGTGGGTTGTTTGGGCGCTGAGTCGCCATAACCATTGGAAGTGAACTCTTATCTGGTTGCCATATCTCTGAGTTTGAGTGGGTGCATGTCGCCAGTTTGCTGTACTACTGTTCGCATGCATGTAAAGTGTGAATGAAAGCAAGTCTGATTGCATTGGTATCAGAGCTGGTACCCACTATTCCACACGTGGGGTTGTGTGTCGCAGGAGTGATGCGCCATAGCAGAGGTGGTCCCCGAGAGTCATAGTCCGCCATAGCGGACCTGAAGGTTGGAGAAACCGCCGCGCACCTGCAGAGAAGACCACGACGAAGAAGAAGACCGAGAGAGAGAGAG